AATTTAACAAGTTTATCCCCTGACAGTCGCAAGATGCAAAAACAGCAAATAGTAAATTACTCTGTCTCCGAATCAAATGCTGTAGCTGCATTTCGGCACATAATTTCAAACAAAGCTGTGTATTTTTCCAAAGTGTTGGACAGGAACACCATTAAGACGCCGCGTTCTGCACGGCCCTGCCCCTCACCCGAAGGACACGGGCTTTCTCACCCTCCTGGATTTGGCTCAGCAGAGACTGCACGGAGAGCAACGCTTCTCACAGACCGACTTTCTTCATTCTACGTAATTTGTCTAGAATGGTGGTAAGCCCACAACACTCGCCATGAACTGGATCCTCACGACGCCCCGGCTCCCAATTTGCTGCACTGCCACGAACCTTTCTAAAGTCAGTCTCCAACAAGAAGACAGTCTAAGTTGGAACTGATACCCGTGACATACAGAGCCAACCAGCAAGAAGCCAGGAGAGAGCCTCCCGTCGGAGCGGCCCTCCTGTCCGGACAGGACTGGCCCAGGCGTCCTCTGTGCCCAGCCGCTCCCCACGCGCTCCCAGCCGCAGGCTCAAAGGCTCAGCTTCTCCCCATCCCACACAGGCTCCAGTGGGAAAACTTCGGCTTGCGCGAGATCTTTCACCTGCGTCTGTCACCTCCAGTCCCAGGGTGCCCAGGACAGGCTCTCAGGGGGTCAGGCCCAGTGACCACCTTGTCCCCTGCAGGGTGGCGTAAGCTGCCCTCCAGCTGCCCTCTGGGACACAAACAGACTGACCCGCCCCTAACCCCAGCCTTTCCATCTTACCAGGGCAGTGGCTGCCCTACCGGGTGGGGAAAAGACCCAGCCTCACCTGGGTAGAGTTTTCCCCGCAGGAACGAGGCTCATCTGGAGTTCTCTCTCATCCCAGGCAAAACCCAGCTCGGCAATCCCAATCCCCCAACAAGCCATGACCCAGCGGCTCCCCTGGGAAGGGGGGGGTGCCAGGGTGGGGGAGCTGCAGGGGAAAGGCCTTGACCGCCCCCCAGAGCAGGCACTGGGGCACTGGGCACGGCCCCGCGGGCTTCACCAAGTCCCGTGTGCTTCCCAAATGATTCAGAAAGCAATGTCAGTCTGAGCACTAGCTCCAGGATGGTTCGTAACGAACTCCAGTCTCACGAGACCAGATGGAAACAGCAAGGGGACGCGCTGTGTTTCCATCGGGCCTGACAGCCACGTGGGCAGTGAGCTTGTGGGGGGGGCAGTGAGTGTGGGGGCGGTGGGGGGTGGTCACCATTCCCAACTCCACCTGCCCCGGGCAGAAGCTGTCACTCACGACACCCGCCACTGACAGCAGCCTTTCCGAAGGTGGGGCGTGCCAGCCGCCCGGGACCTGTCGCTGGCAGCCAGAGGGGACAGCAGCACGGGACACGACCAAGCCAGCGGGCTTTCTGCTTCCCGATGGGAGCAGGCACGAACTAGCAGGCAGTTTCGGTAAAAAGAAAAAAAAAAAAAAGAAAAAAAAAAAAACATACAGCAGTCTGATCAAATCCCAGGATCCAACAGCCTATTTACAGGAATGACGATGTGGGGAGGCGGACACGGGAGACCGATGCCCGGGGACCCAATCTCTGGGAGCCCACGTGGGACCAACAGCCCGGTTTCTCCAATGAATGAATGAACTGCAGCAAGAAAAAATGGGGCGGGGGGAGCCCGCGGCAGACAAGAGACAGTCGAGCACCTTAGCCAGCCTGATGTAGGGGCATGCGTGGGGTCTGGACTCAAACAAACGTGAGCAAAAGCCAGGGCGATGCCCGCGCCGGCAACAAATCACGATTCGTTTTTCAGCTGTGATAAGGACACTGTGGTTAACTTTTTGACAAAGAAGTCTTATCTCTGAAGAGTTTACTAACTATTCACATCTGTGATTCCCAGTGGTTGGGCGGGACTGGGCGCGGGCAGGCGAGCGTGGCTCTGCTCTTCCTTGGAGTGTCCTGTAACCCAAAGGAGCCACGCTCCTCGCAGGCAACTTGGAGCGCACAGAAGGGGAAGAACTGGACGCCCACGTGTGTTAGCCTCTGACGCTCCTCCCCACAGTGTCCTGCCTTCACGCAAGAACTCCTGCTCACTACCAAGGGGGGCTTGGAGGGTGGTGTGGCGGTGGGGGCGACCTCTCCTCTGGCCCAGGAAACCAAGCTACATCTCACACACACACACACACACACACACAGTTCCTCTAGCTGCAAACTCACTGGGTCATTGATTTGTTCATTCAACAGACACCACACAGGTGCTGTGCACGGCCAGCTCCCGCGCCCATCAGCGATGCCCGAAGACGCTAACCTCTCAGCCTGGGCTTGGCGCTCACGCTCGGGAAGAAATGCCACGACGGCGGCCGGCCCGGGTGTCCCGCCCAGTGCACAGTGAAGCAAACCCTGACCCTGGACGCGGCACGCTCCCCTCTGCCCGAGGCTCCTCTGAGACTGGAGTAGCCCTCCTCAGCAGCCCACAGGGCAGCACAGGAACCAGCTATCTCAGCTGTGCCCGAGCCCCGTTTTCCTACTGATAATCGGACACGCCGGGGCTGGCGTTGTAGCACAGTGGGTGAGCTGCCGACTGCCGGGCTCACGTCCCACATCGCAGCACCTGAGTCGCAGTCCCGCTTCCAATCCAGGTCCCCTCTGATGCGCCCGGAAAAGCAGCAAATGGTCCAGAATCAGAGTCCTGGGCTGTTGGCTTCGTCCTGACCCAACCCTGGCCAGTTGGGGAATGAACCAGCACATGGACGATCTCTCTCAGTCTCTCCCTCTCTGTCACTCTGCCTTTCAATACATAAAAAATAAAGAACGACAAACACCTCTTAGGTCAACTGTTAAGAAAACAACAACAACACTGAACACCTGGAAGCACAGGCCTCCAGTCCCCAACGGGGTGGCTTCCGGAGCCTCTCCTAGGAAGGAGGTGACCACGCGAGTGTGGCACACGCCAGCCTCACCCAGGGGCCCCATCCTGAGGTGGGCAAGGTGGCGGCTCAGGACGAAACGGGAAGGTTTTCAGGAATGGGTGGCCACCAACACAATGCGAAACCACAGGGCCTCTGGCGACCATGGCCCACGGAACCCACACGCCTGCTCAAGGCAACAAAATCCCGACGCAACGAGAGAAATCTGCAGCGGGAACCTTCCAGCGGGAACCGTGAGAGCCCGAGAGGAAGCAACCGCAGCCATTCTCCACGATAAACACTCACACAGCAGCACCCTGGCTTCGGATTCATTACAAGCCCTCGATGACTGGAAAGGTGCTAAACACCAGACCCTTGGCCTCCCTCTTACAAGACGCTGTGTGCACCTCGCAGATCGGCGCGAGGGAGGGGACACACGGACGTCCGTTCGATGGGTTTCCTTCCGCACACCTGCCCTGAGCTTGTGTGGTTCCCATCACTGCCCACACGGTGCTGTTCAGAGGCAAAGCCGAAGTCGAACAGAGCCAGCCGGGCTCGGCACAGCGGCTCTTGCCGCACGTGTGCAGCACCGAGTCAGCAGGGATGTGTGTGCATGTGTGCGTGCGAATGGTCCACCTGCTCCACGAGGCACCCACTAAGAACCTAAGCTCCTTGGGAGTATAAACTTGAACAGCACGTTTCAGCGGTAACAGACTTGTGCTGGCACGTTCAGGGCACGACCCGGGGACTCGGTGAGCCGAAACGGCGCTCGTGGGAAAGTCCCATTCAGGATCCTGGAGGCTGGGTCCTGGCTAGGCGTGTACCTGTCCACGGGCTGGCGCAGGAGGCCCTGGACACGAACCGTTCCAGGGGAGCGCACGAGGCACGGGTGCAGGGGCAGCCGTGTCCCTGCCATGGTCTCACCAGGGCAGCCCCCACCCCTAGCGCATTTAAGAGCGTGTCGGCAACGGGACAGGGTGCAGAGCCACTGCAGGGTTTGTGTGAGCGGGAGGCAGGGCGCACCTTCTGGCTTTGGAAAATGAAGGTAAGCGTTCCCTCTCACACCCCAAGGCGGGCGTGAGTCATCTCCAGGGCAGCACTTGAAAACTGTTCACTGCCGGATTTACAACCGGGCAGGCGGAGGCCCCGGCGAGGTGGGGGTGCTGGGGTTCACGGAAACGGACGTTGGGCCCTGGGAATCACCTGCAAACCCGCCCTGGCTCAGGACAGAGCGATTGGACGGACAAGCGCGGGGCAGAACCACGTCAACCGAACGTGACCACGGTGTGCGGCGAGCAGCAAACAGAAAAAGAAAGTGCCTCCGGAGGAAGTGAGCCATTACTCAGGCTTTCTCCCACGGCAGAGCTGCAGGGTCAGGACAGCTCCGGGCAGCGGGTGCGGGGCGCAGAGAGCAAGGGCACCCAGGGCACCCCACAGGCCTGCCTGCGCCTGTGTGTCCGGGGGTCTCCAGCCGGCTGAAAGGCCTTCCACACTAGCCACCCCGTCTCCCGCCCTGCTGAGCCTCCCTAGGCAGACCTGCCCCAAGGGTCCCCACCGCCCCATGGCCCTTAGACTGGGCACCTCCCAGCCACCCTGCTAGGTGTCCAGAGGGGCCAGGGGGTCCAAGATCGGCAGGGAGGAGGCCAGGCTGGGACGGTCCCCTGGATTCAGGCCCACGGGGATTGGCGTCCACCCCAGGGATTGAGGGTGGTTGGGGAGCGGGGTCCAGGGGTGTCCCTGGAGGTTCAGACTGGGCAGGGTAGGACTAGGGGCAGGGGAGGGGCCGGGCAGCGGGGGAGGGGCGGGTTTCCCGCAGGATCCAGGGTGTCCTTGGCCCGGCCGGTAGCGGCCGGTAGGGGCAGCGGTCGGGAGTGACCGGGGGTCTCGGCCGGCGGGGATCAAGGTGACCGAGGGTCTCCTCCGGCGGGGGTCAGGATAACCGGGGGTCAGGGTGACGGGTGGGGGGGCCTCGGCCGTCAGGGGTCGCGGTAGCGGGATTCGGCGGGGATCGCGGGCGGACACGGCGACCCGGGGGCCTCGGCCGGCGGGGGCGGCGATGGGGGTGACCCGAGGGGCGGCCGGGGGTCGCACTCACTGCTTGGGCAGCTGCAGGGCGGGCGCGCCGCGCCGCTGGAAGGCGCCGTCCACGAAGACCCCGTTCTTGCCCAGGCAGCGCAGGTAGAAGTGCGGCTCCTGGAAGCTGAGCTGCAGGTGGCGCCGCGAGATGAAGCTGGACAGGCCCATGCTCAGGTCCACCGAGCCCTGCGACGAGTTGCGGCCGATGGTGACGCTCGGCTGCCGCATGAGGAACTCGAACTCGCGGCCCTCGAGCCGCGCCAGCGCCGGCCCCGGGCTCTGCCGCACCGAGGCGGCCGCCGCGGCCACCAGCGCCGGCGCCGCGCCCGCGCCCGCGCCCCCGCCCGCGCCGGGCCCCGGGCCCGCGATCGCGCCCGGCGGCGGCGGCAGCGGCGGCGGCGGCGGCCCGGGCGGGGGCGCGGCGGGCGGCGGCCCGGGCGGCGGCGGCGGCGGCGGCGGCGGCGCGGCGGGCGGCGGCCCGGGCGGGGGCGCGGCGGCGGCGGCGGCGGGGAAGGCGGCGGCGGCGGCCGCGGCGCACAGCACGGGGCTGCAGGGCGCCGAGCGCAGCGCCAGCAGGGCGCGGGCGCCGCTGTCCTCGCCGACTTCGGCCATGTTCGCGCAGCGCCAGCGGCTCCGCGGCGGGGTGGAGGCGCGGGGGGCGGGGAGGCCGGCGCGGCGCGCGCGGAAACCCGGGCCGGATCGGCGGCGCGGCGCGGAGCGGAGCGGAGCCGGCGGGGCCTGCGCGCGCCCCGCCCCCAGCCCGTCGAGGCCTCGGTCTGGCTTGGAGCAAGAGTGAGTCAGATCCTCCTGTCCCGGCCCGCCCTGCCCTGCCCTGCCCTGCCCTTGCGAGACGCGGGCACCGCCCCGAAGCGGCCTGCCCGCGAGCTGTGGCCCCGGGCGCCGGAGCGAGGGGCTAATGGTGCGATCCCAAAATACTTGCCTCGCTTTCACGATCTCCCTCGCTGCCTAAAACTTTGCGGTCGCTCATGCACTCGACAAACGCGCCGGGTCAGAGCCTCTCTCCATCTCTGCCCCGCTCGTGCCTCGCTAAGTTATCCAGGCCCCCTCATTTCATAATTATGGAGTGTGGGCGAAACCCGCATCCCCTGGCCCTGGTGGAGCCCACAGCCGGGCGGGACTGGCAGATCTGATCGGTGCGAGGCGCCCACAACCCGGGCGCTGGCCGGTCCCTGCGCGACTGGGCGCACCGGGGCCCAAACGCTGCCGGGCAGGCAACCGCAGCCAGGAGGAGAGACCCTGCCTGCCAGGCTGAGGGGGGGTGCGGTCCCGAGCGAGGACCCCTGAGCTGAGGGCCGAAGGGTGGGCTGCAGCTGAGCAGGGTTCCAGGACAGGAGCCGCCGGCGGGGGAGAAGGCGCCTGGCCCTGACCGGGTGGTGTCCACAGGAGGCTACGGAGCCGGGAGGCGCTGTGCTGGGTCATCGAGGGTCTGGGGCTCCCGCAGAACGGTGCATTCCGGTGTCTAAAATGTGACCTCTTGGGCTGCAGGGAGCCTCGCGCAGAACGGGGTCCCAGCTGTGGTCCGAGGCGGGTCAGGGGGTCAGGACGCTCCTGGACCAGGCCAGAGAGGAGGGGGATGGAGGGGAGCCGCGTGGACCACACAGTATTGCCCTCTGAGGCCTGCCTTGACGCACAGCTGGTTAAGCCAGCGCTTGCAACCGCGGCATCCCATCGCGGAGCGGCAGTACCGGGTGCCCCGCTGCCGGTCCAGCTCCCTGCTCATGCTACTGGGAAGGCATCCCAAGATGGCCCACGTGGGAGTGGCTCCTGGCTTCTTCCTGGCCCAGCCCTTGGCTGTTGCAGGATTTGGGGAGTGAACCAGCCGATGGAAGCTCGCTCTCTCATCCTTTTCTCTGTCCCTTTGCCGTTCAAGTAAGTAAACAAACCTTTTTAGTAATGAATATTGATCTGATAGAAAGGGAGAGGGGGCGTGAGGTGGTGCGGTCGCTGTGGGCACACTGGTTCCATGCCGAGCTACGCTCCCCGCTGCAGACCCAGGGCAGCTGTGCTCGGCGCAGAATTTCTCACGGCAGCCAAGAGGTGGGAGCACCCCAGTGTCCACCCACATTTAGGGTGCATGCCTGCGGTGGAACTTACTCAGCCTGACACCTGCTAGCTTGAGAGGGGACCTAAGGATGTCACGGGGGGTGAAATAAGCCACACACGAAGGGACCTATGTCGTGCGGCTCCGCTTCCGTGAGGGCCACAGCTGCAGAGTAGGGTGGTGGGAGCTAGGGGCTGGGGTGGGAGTTCCGTGGGGCAGAGGGTGATGATGGCTACACAGCCAGCTGCGTGTGTGTGATGCCTGAGCAGAGATGGCAAAATTTTGTTACATGCATTCCACCACAATTTATTTGAAAGGCTTATTGTATTTGAAAGGCCAAGACAGAAAAGGAGGTCTTCCAATAGCTGGCTCTCTCCCCGAAATGGCTATAACGGCCAAGGCTGGTCCAGGCTGAAGTCAGGAGCCAGGAGCTCCACCCGGGTCTCCCATGTGGGTGGCAGGGGTCCAAGCACTTGGGTCATCTTCTGCTGTGTTCCCAGGTGCATTGGCAGGGAGCTTGGTCAGAAGCAGAGCAGCTGGGACTTGAACCTGCACTCAGGTAGGGGAGGCCAGTTTCAAAGCTTCACCCGCTGTGCCGCAAAGCTGGCCCCGTCGCCACAGTTTAAAACCACGAGGTTTATGACAACCTCCCAGGCTCGAAAGATGACTTCTGGGCCGGCGCCGCGGCTCACTAGGCTAATCCTCCGCCTAGCGGCGCCGGCACACCGGGTTCTAGTCCCGGTCGGGGCGCCGGATTCTGTCCCGGTTGCCCCTCTTCCAGGCCAGCCCTCTGCTGTGGCCAGGGAGTGCAGTGGAGGATGGCCCAGGTGCTTTGGGCCCTGCACCCCATGGGAGACCAGGAAAAGCACCTGGCTCCTGGCTCCTGCCATCGGATCAGCGCGGTGCGCCGGCCGCAGCGCGCCGGCCGCGGCGGCCATTGGAGGGTGAACCAACGGCAAAGGAAGACCTTTCTCTCTGTCTCTCTCTCTCACTGTCCACTCTGCCTGTCAAAAAAAAAATTTAAAAAAAAAAAAAAAAAGAAAGAAAGATGACTTCTTACTTTTCCCTGACAGTTCTGTTTGATGACAAGAGCAGTAACTAGGTTTCCAGGCACTCACGCCTACCTTAGCATGAAGCATTTAGAATTACAGGCCCAGGCCGGCGCCGCGGCTCACTAGGCTAATCCTCCGCCTTGTGGCGCTGGCACACCGGGTTCTAGTCCTGGTCGGGGCGCTGGATTCTGTCCCGGTTGCCCCTCTTCCAGGCCAGCTCTCTGCTGTGGCCAGGGAGTGCAGTGGAGGATGGCCCAAGTGCTTGGGCCCTGCACCCCATGGGAGACCAGGAGAAGTACCTGGCTCCTGGCTCCTGCCATCGGATCAGTGCGGTGGGCTGGCCACAGCGCACCGGCCGTGGCGGCCATTGGAGGGTGAACCAACGGCAAAGGAAGACCTTTCTCTCTGTCTCTCTCTCTCACTGTCCACTCTGCCTGTCAAAAAAAAAAAAAAAATTACAGGCCCACTGACAAAACTTGGGGCTTCTTCTCCCCACACAAGGAGCAAGAAACAGTACAACAATAATTCCAGGGCTTGCAGAGCCAGCTCCCCGTGACCCTGGCAGGTCCAGACACCGATTTAATTGTTTCCAACTGCTTTTTCCTGGAACAGTAAGTCATTGAAGAGATGGACAGCTACTACCCGCTACTACAGAGAAGGCAAGAAAAGAGCCAGGAAAAAGCCATGCCGCAACCGCAATATGAGAAACTGAATTTTTCATTCACTCCCCCTGGTTCTACAGGGCATGCTCAAGCTGTTTTACAAAACATTTGCTAAAAAAAAAAAAAAAAAAAAGGCTTGCAATCGCTAGTAGATTGAACCAATCTCTCGGGGCCCCACGGTGCCTGGGCTCTTACCTTGTTCCAAGTGTGTGGAGCTGGTGCAGACACAGAAAGGAACAGAGGAGCAGAGCCAACTTCAAGGCCCTACGCCAGCAGTGAGCACACAGCATGGTGTCAGGAGGTGACCTTGGAGGCGGCGTCGAAGAGGCAATAAAACATCTAGAGAAACAAATCGTGCTGTGGCAAAAGGGCCTGGTGCTGTGGCATGGTGAGCTAAACCTCCACCTGCAGCACCGGCATCCCATATGGGCACTGGTTCTAGTCCCGGCTGCTCCTCTTCCAATCCAGCTCTCTGCCGCAGTCTGGGAAGCTGGCCAGTCCTGGCAGAAGCTCTTGGCTCGTGGCTTCGGATCAGCCCAGCTCCAGCCATTGCGGCCATTTGGGGAGTGAACCAGTGGATGGAAGACCTTTCTGTCTCTCCCTCTGTTTGTCTGTAACTCTACCTCTCAAATAAATAATCTTTTTAAAAAAAAATTTGGGCAAGAGATGTGAACAGGTGCTTTTTCAAAGAAGATACATGGATGACAAAGATGTGGGCTGAACAGAAGCTTAGCATTGTTTGTTATTAGGGGTCAATTTTTTTTTTTTTGACAGACAGAGTGGACAGTGAGAGAGAGAGAGAGACAGAGAGAAAGGTCTTCCTCTTCCGTTGGTTCACCCCCCCAATGGCCGCCGCGGCCGGCGCACCGTGCTGATCCGAAGCCAGGAACCAGGTGCTTCTCCTGGTCTCTCCCATGGGGTGCAGGGCCCAAGCACTTGGGCTATCCTCCACTGCACTCCCGGGCCACAGCAGAGAGCTGGCCTGGAAGAGGGGCAACCGGGACAGAATCCGGCGCCCCAACTGGGACTAGAACCCAGTGTGCCGGCACCGCAAGGCGGAGGATTAGCCTAGTGAGCCGCGGCGCCGGCCTTAGGGATAAAATTAAAGCCACAATGGGATATCACCACACACAGAAGGGCACTTCACAGTAGGATGGAGGGCCGGGCGTTCAGCCTGGTGGTGAAGACGCCTGTGTGCCCCACTGGAGTGCCTGGGTTTGACGCTGGCTCCGATCCTGACTCCAGCTTCCTGCCAATGCGCACCCTGGAGGGGGTGGTGATGGCTCAAGTAGTTGAATTCCTGCTGCCCACATGGAGACCTGAATTGGATCCCCAGCTCCTGGCTTGTGCCTGCACAGTCCAGACCGTCATGGGCATTTGGGGAGTGATCGAGCAGATACGGGTTCTCTCTGCCAGCAGATATAAGATCTCTCTCTCTTTTTTTTTTTCCTGTCTCTCCCTATCTGTCACTCTGCCTTTCAAATAAATAAATCTTTTTTTTAAAACGAGAGAAATTTATAAAATAAACAAGGCTTAAGTGCGGTGTTGTCCATTTCAGAAGCTACCTGTGCCAAGCATCGCACCCCTTGGTGGCACGGGCCTCGTGTGCAGTGCTCTGTGGGGTTTACTCGTCAGCTGGACTGCTGTAGAGTTCCACTCATGGGCAGCTGGACCCTGTCTCCTCAGGTCTGCAGCCCCCAGGCAGCAGGTGGCTGGCAGCAGCCTCACTGGCCCACAAGGGCCAACATGGGCCATGCTCTGCTTCAGCCAGAGCCCCGGCTATTCCTGCTGGGTGCATATGAGGCGGCAGAACAGGGTCCCTTCACAGGAGGGGACCCCAGCCCCAGCAGAAATCCCAGCCCAGCAGTGGCTGTGACAGGAGGTTGGTGGTGGTGGTGGGTGGTGGGGGGAGCCTTGGTGCTGCAAGTCCCAGAAGGCCTGGAACTCAGGGACTGTCCAGGGCAGGACTGGGGAGACCAGGTCCTTCTCTTGCCTCTTCCCCCTCCCCTGTGCCTTCCCGCTCACCGCGTGTCACTTCCTGTGGCTTCTATCTCCTTCTCCATCCTTCCTGTCTCCCCAGAATTGCTTCCTGCCTGTTCTCGGAGCTCCAAGGGCGTTACATCACACTACCGATGAGAACTCCGCCTGTTCCTGCAAAGCATGCACTCCTGTATCTGCATAAGGTGAACAGGACAAACTCCCCCCAGGGGAACGCTTCCTTACCCATCGGAGCTCCCGCAGCCTGGACCCCAGGAGGGCTACCCTGCTTCCCCCAGCACACTTGGGGCCTTCTTATCCAGGACTCACATGGGTTCATATTTCTTTTTCATTTTTTAAAGGTTTATTTATTTGAAAGGTGGGGGGAGGGGGGAGGAAGAGAGAAAGAGAGAGAGAGAGAGAGAGAGAGAGAGAGAGAGAAATCTATCTTACATCCGCTGGTTCACTCCCCAAATGGCCACAACAGTTGGGGCTGGTCCAGGCAGAAGCCGGGAGCCTGGAGCTCCACGCAGGTCTCCCCTGTGGGCACAGAGGCTCAAGGACCTGAGCTATCTTCTGCTGCTTTCCCAGGCGCATCAGCAGGCAGCTGGATGAAAAGTGGAGCAGCCGGGACTCAAACTGGCCTAAGTATGGGATGCCAGCATCACAGACAGCGGCTTAACTTGCTATGCTGTGCTGGCCCTGTACACATTTCTTTTAAAGTTTTATTTATTTATACATTTATTTTTATTGAGAGGCAGAAAGGTGGGGGAGAGAAGAGACACAGAGAGAGAGATCTTCCATTTCCTGGTTCACTCTCCAAAAGCTCATCACAGTCAGGGCTTGGCCAAGCTAACACCAGAGATCAGAACCCAATCTGTTTCCCATCTGGTTTGCAAGGGCACAGAAGCAGGAAGCTGGAATCAGAGGTGGAACCGGCTGGCGTCGAGGCTCACTTGGCTAATCCTCTGCCTGCGGGGCCAGCACACCGGGTTCTAGTCCCGGTTGGGGCACCGGATTCTGTCCCGGTTGCCCCTCTTCCAGGCCAGCTCTCTGCTGTGGCCCGGGAGTGCAGTGGAGGATGGCCCAAGTGCTTGGGCCCTGCACCCCATGGGAGACCAGGAGAAGCACCTGGCTCCTGGCTTCGGATCAGCGCGGTGCACCGGCCACGGCGGCCTTTGGAGGGTGAACCAACGGCAAAAAGGAAGACCTTTCTCTCTGTCTCTCTCTCACTGTCCACTCTGCCTGTCAAAAAAAAAAAGTGGAACCAGGTCTGGAACCCGGGCACTCCAGAAAGGGTGCGGCACTCCCAAGCAGCAGCTTAACGGCTATGCTCAACACCAATCCAGGACTTTTCCTGAACTGACTGATTCTGACAGCCCAGGAAACACACGCAAACCAAAATGTGGGGGAAGGGATGCCTTTTGCGGTGCTGGGACGTACGGAGACAGAAGCCCATGTATAGCTCATCTATTGCTCTGTGTCGAATGACCCCAAAACCTTTAACCAGCAAACATTTGTCTTCACAGCTCCTGTGCATCGGGGGCTCAGGAAGTATTCGGCCAGGGAGAGGTCTGGCTCAGACTGTGCCAAGATGTGGGTCCCTGTCACCCATGCGGAAGACCGGAAGGAGTTCCAGGATCCTGGCTTTGGTGGGGGCCCAGCCCCAGCTGTTGTAAGGCATTTGAGATTTTGAGGAATGAGCCAGTGGATGGAAGATCTCTGTCTGCCTATTTCTCTCTTTCAAGTAAAACAGAAAATAAACAGCGGCCGGCACCATGGTGCAGTGAGTTAAAGTCCCAGCCTAGAGTGCCGGCATCCCCTATGGGTGCCGGTTCGAGTCCTGGCTGCTCCTCTTCCAATCCAGCTCTTTGCTATGGCCTGGGAAAGCAGTAGAAGATGGGCCAACTCCTTGGGCCCCTGCACCACATGGGGGACCCAGAAGAAGCTCCTGGCTCCTGGCTCCAGATCAGCTCAGCTCTGGCCATTGTGGTCATCTGGGGAGTGAACCAGTGGAATGGAAGACCACTCTTTCTCTCTGGCTCTATCTCTCTTTCAAATAAATAAAAAATAAATCTTTAAAAAATAGAAAATAAATAAAAATAATTGGGGGGGGGGAGACGTTGGCTGGGGCTGCATCTCCTGAAAATTTGCCTCCAAGGGGCTGTCTGGCACAGCCGGGAGGTGTGCTGCTCTGGGCAGGAGGCCGCTGTGAATTCTCCACAGTGCAGCTCAGCATCCTCACGACAGGGTGCGTGTCTGGCTTCCCCTGGCAAAGGGATGCAAGAAAGAGCAAATAGGAGCCTCCCAAGTGCCATTCTGCAATGTCCCCAGCATCCTAGGGTTACATGGGTCAGCTGGAGGCAGCTCGGGGCATGGCTGCCAGGGGCAGAGCTGACACTATGACACGTGGTTATAGTGACCTGTGTGGCGAGGTGAGATGCATCTGTGGCCCGCACCCCCATTCCATCCGACCACGTGGGGTCAGATCCGCGAGACTCTGCCTGGTGGAGCAAGCCGCTCCTGCCTCGATGACAACGGGTGGACCCAGGTGTCCCCGTGACTGTGTGTTTATGTTCTATGCTCTCTCGGCTGCCTGGTGCCCGTCTGCATGGCCAAGCGGTTCTGAGCTTGTCCCGGCTTCAGCCTAAGGGTCTTGCACATGCCAAAGCCGTGCCTGGAGTTGCCTGCAGGCTGTTGTGGGGTGGGGGGTGTCTGGTTTCCAGCCACAGAAACCAACCCTGGCCTGACTTAAACGGAAGGGGCTTTACTGGTTTTGGGAAAGGGCTGCCTTGGGGAGGGGCAGCAGAAACCCTGGGCTGGCCTTGCTGGCACTCAGCCCCCTCCCAGCTTGCTCCTCCTTGCATCGGCTGGCTGGACCTAAGTGGGCAGACACGGAGGCAGCCGACTCTTTAGAAGCGAAGACCACTCGCAGAGGGCTGGCCCGTCTTCAGAGGCCAGCCGAGGCTGGTTCCTGTGAGGCGGGGGGAGGGGGAGGGGGAGGGAACGCTGCCCGAGGGAGACAATAGCTGCCCACTGCCTCATTCCAAGTGGATGTCGTCAGTGACCTGTGCAGAGCCCGGCACTCCCTGTTGCTCGCAAGGACGCTTGAGCTCATCTGCTGAAACTCTGAAGAGCGCAGACATTTGAAACACACACAGAGAAAGACCCACGGGTGAGGGCCCGGCCGACGGGGACCCACCTGCCACGCAGCCTTCTGCTCCGGCTCCCACCCGCCTGCACCCTCCTGTTGCCTTTTGGAGCAGGTCTCAGACACTGAGCAGTTCGTAGATTTCAGTATGCACCCCGAAAAGATACTGGTTCATAGCCACGCCCACCACCACCCCTAAGAGAATTTTTTTTTTTTTTGGACAGGTAGAGTTAGACAGTGAGAGACAGAGAGACAGAGAAACACAGAGAAAGGTCTTCCTTTTTCCATTGGTTCACCCCCCAAATGGCTGCTACAGCCGACACGCTGTGGCCAGCGTACCGCGCCAATCTGAAGCCAGGAGCCAGGTGCTTCTCCTGGTCTCCCATGGGGTGCAGGGCCCAAGCACTTGGGCCATCCTCCACTGCCCTCCCGGGCCACAGCAGAGAGCTAGCCTGGAAGAAGAACAACCGGGACTAGAACCCAGCGCCCCAACCGGGACTAGAACCCGGGGTGCCAGTGCCACAGGCGGAGGATTAGCCTAATGAGCCATGGTGCCAGCCCCCTAAGAGAATCTTAAGGATGCCATGATGTTATCAAATTTCTGGCCAGTGTTTAGCTTTTCATTTTTTAAACACTGACTGAGGTATGATTCACATACCATGAGATGCACGTGCTGCCGGCATGCTAAGGTTACACGGATTTTGGCATATTTAAAGCTGTTCCATCGTCACCATGATCCCCTTTCTGAATACGTCCATCACCCCCAAATCTCCTTTGTAGCCAGTTTCAGTCACTGCTCCCTCCAGCCTTCAGCTCCAGCCATCACCGGTCTTTCTCCTCTGGTCTCGCCTCTTTTCCACCGCTTTCAAGAGCCAGGGAGCATGTGGCACGTGGCCTTTTGTGCCTGAGTTCTTCCATGCAGCACAGGTTTAGGGTCTGTGACTGTTGTTACATGGAGCAGTGATTCCTCTCTCTTTTAAATGTTCATTTATTTGAAAGGCAGAGTTACAGAGAGAGCTTTTGCTGGTGCATTAACACAGAGCTGGATAGGAAGTGGAGCAGCCAGGACTCGAACCGGAGTCCACATGGGATGCCGGCACTGTGGGAGGTGGCTTAACCCTCTGAGCCAAAGCACTGGCCCTAAGGCCTCTCTTTTGATTGCTGATGATGCCATAGTTTTTAAGAAAGTCGGACGGACGGATGGCTCCCAGGGTTTGGCTGCGAGAGTAACATCGCTGCTGTGAGCGTTCACGGACTTGTCTCTCACATATGTTTGCCTTTCTGTGGAGCAGATTCCTGTGGGTGGAACTGTGGGGTTACAGACCAAGTATATGTTTAACATCCTACCAGCTCCCCAGACTGTTTTCCCAAGCGGCTGCAGACGTCAGCATTCCCAACAATGGATGAGGTCCTCTTAATCCCTTTAGTCTGTGTTTCCCCTCCATTTCCTTTTCTCCTCCCCTCCCCCTTCCAATTTATTTAAGAAACTGGGTCATTTGTCCATTGCAGTTTCCCACAGTCTGACTTTTGCTGGCTGCATTGTGGTTGGTTGGTGTCTGAACCCAGGGAAGAGAAAAGCTTTTCTGATCAGGCTCAGATACACACAGCCACCAACATGGCTGCAGATTAGTAGGCAAGGAAACTGTGGAAATAGTGATCGAAAATAAGATTAGGCCATGGATACAGGCCGTACACAAAACAGAAACCCTGACATCTTAAGAACTTGGCAGAAATGGATCCTGGTTTTAGTTCTGAGCTATGTAACAGCAAGAGGTGCTATTTGGCTACAAGATTCACTCTCCATATAATTTTTTTAAAAAGTGTGTGTATGTGTGTGTGTGTGTGGGGGGTGGACAGCACTCTGGCAAGCAAGTTAAGCCACTACTTGCAACGCCGGCATCATATCAGAGTGCCAGTTCGAGTCCCAGGAGCTCCACTTCCAGTGTACCCCCTCTTCCTATGTGCTTTGGGAAAGCAGTGGCAGATGGCCCAAGTGCTTGGACCCCTGCCACCCATGTGGAAGACCCAGATGGAGTTCCAGGCTCCCGGCTTCAGCCTGGCCCAGCCCTGACTTTTGAGGCCATCAGAGAATGAAGCAGGGAGAGAATATCTTTGTGTGTCTCTCCCTCTCTGTCACTCTGCCTATCAAATCAATCAATCAATCAATCAGAAAGTTGTTTAAAGCCAACTGCTCTGTAGAAGCTGACTTTTTTTTTTTTTTTCCTGGCAGACATCAGAGAAAACTGCTGGCCCTTATTTCCACTTCCCTCTTTGGGACAGGGTGGGAACTTGGGGACCAGAAGCTCCAGGTGACCAAGCCACACAGAGAGGCTTCTTGGGGACCTGAGCAGACAACAAAAACAGACTCCTCGCGCCACATCAAAGAAGGCAGCTATCAGCTGCAGCACCACAGGGCCTTTGACTTTCATCGTCAAAGCCACCAGGGTTCCGTGTGTTTTTATCACCCAAGCCCCAGTGTGCAGCTATGAAGGCAGAGACATTCAGGTAGTTCAGCATCTACAACACGACCCACCCTCCCAGGTCTACACCAACCACACCCTCCCTACCAGAAATAGGAAAAAAAAAAAAAAAACCCACACCTACAGTTAATTCAGAGCACAAGTTTCACTCCTAGGTCAGACAGAATTACAGAGAGAGGTAGAGACAGAGAGAGAGGTCTTCCATCCGCTGGTTCACTCCCCAGATGGCTGCAACGGCCAGAGCTGCATCGATCCGAAAGCAGGAGCCAGGAGCTTCTTCCGGGTTTTGGGCCATCTTCTACTGCTTTCCCAGGCCATAGCAGAGAGCTGGATCAGAAGAGGAGCAGCTGGGACTAGAATCGGCGCCCAAATGGGATGCTGGCACTTCAGGCCACAGTGCCTTGGCCCCATAACACCTTTATTTGTAACAGCAACAAAGTAGCCACCACCCAGGCCTCCATCACTGAGGAATGAATGAGCCAAATACAAGAGATAAAACAGGCAAACACATGGAGACAGGAGATGGATCAGTGGTTTGCTTAGGACTGAATGGATGGGATGTTTGGGAAGGGGGAGGTGACAATGAAGGGCACCCTGAGAGTTATAAAGTTAACTGCGGTGGTGGATGCCCATCCTGGCGGATGCAATAACGCCACCCTACTGCACGCTTGTCATCGGTGTGAATTATCTCTCAGAGCTGGGGTTAGGCGTCTGGCCCAGCAGTTAGGCTGGCAGTAGGAGGCTGGCACCGTGGCTCGGCGGGTTAAAGTCCTGGCCTGCAGCACCGGCATCCCATGTGGGCACTGGTTCCAGTCCCGGCTGCTCCATTTCCAATCCAGCTCTCTGCTGTGGCCTGGGAAAGCAGTGGAGGATGGCCCAAGTCCTTGGGCTCCTGCACCTGCATGGGAGACCAGGAAGAAGCTCCTGGCTCCTGGCTTCATATCAGCTCAGCTCAGCTCTGGCCATTGTGGCCATCTGGGGAGTGAACCAGCGAATGGAAGATCTCTCTCTCTCTCTCTCTCTCTGGCTCTACCTCTCTCTGTAACTCTTTCAAATAAGTAAAAATAAATATTAAAAAAAGATGTCAGTTATCACAACATTCCACATGGGAGTGCCTAGGTTTGATTCCTGGCTCCAGCTCCCAGCTTCCTGCCAGCATGGACCCTGGGAGGCAGCAGTGACCGCTCAAGGAGTTGGGTTCCTGCCACCCATGGGGGAGACCTGGATTGAGGTCCCCGCCTCACGCTATAGCCTCCTAGCTGTTGTGCGCATTTGGGGAGTGAACCAGAAGATGGGAGCTCAGACTGCCTTTCAAACCAAAAAAATTAGCTAAAATTTTGTATGAATTAAAGTCAGTTAAGTTAAATCAAATAATTTCAATTGTCTTTTTTTTTTTTTTTTTTTTGACAGGCAGAGTGGACAGTGAGAGAGAGAGACAGAGAGAAAGGTCTT